ATAATTTAGTTCCAGAAGATTTGTACAGAACTAAAAAGATAGTGGCCAAGTTGGGGCTACTATTTGAAAAGATCGATTGATGAGTCAACGACTGTATGTTATATTACATGGAGAATGCACAAGAGACAAAATTCATATTTTGTTGTGCTGATAGGTTCGAACCAAGGGGAAAAAAGAGTAAAAACCAAAATAATATTCCCTACAAATGTCTCGTTTATTCTCCTCTCATTTCACAACTCCAACGACTATTTGCTTATATCCGCATAACTCTCCACATGTCATGGCATAATACTAGATCTGTTAATGCAAGTACAATAACTCATCCCTCAGTTGGTGATGTTTGGAAACACTTCGACCACAGTTATCTGAACTTTGCAGCAAAACCGCGTAACATCAATCTTGACTTATGTGCAAATGGGTTCACACCTTACAATCATACTGTAACATATTGGTATTGTTGGACAATTATTATCACGACATATAAATTACCCCCTTATATGTGTATGACTATATTGTTCTTATTTTTAATGTTGATCATACCAGGTCCACATAGCTTAAAGAGTATAATTGATGTGTATTGATAGCGTTATATAGATGAGATACAAGTATATGGGAAACCAGAGTGTTGACTTATGATATTTTAAGGAAACAAAACTTTTACCTTAGGCCAAAAAATTGGCATGCCTCTACGACATGAACATGTCTAAAGCATTCACTTTGAAGCATGGAAGAAAAAATTCCTCGTAACATGTGGTCACCCATTCGGGAGGAATAAATATGCATTTTTTTAGTAATAGAGTTGAAAGATCAAGTCCGTCTTCCAGATTGTGGCGTACACATAATTGGATGAAGTGGAGTATATTTTGGGATCTTTCATATTGGAAGACAAATCAGATTAGACATAATATGGAAGTTATGTATATTGAAAAAAAATTTTTTGATAATATAATTAACACTGTTCTTAATATCAAGGAAAAAATAAAGGACAACGTTAAAGCAATAATGAATTTGAAAGAGTATTGCAAGAGGAGGGGGTTGAACTTTAAGAGACAAATGCAGGTAAAATAATAAAGCTCAAAACTACATATTATCTCACATCAGATCATTGAAAAGCATTCTTTGAGTGGTTGCATTTCTTGAATTTTTCAAGTGGCTATGCCTCTATCATAGGTCGATGTGTTGATTTGGGCACGAAAAAAATATTTGGCATGAAGAGTCACAATAACCATATTTTTTCATGCATTGCTTATTACCTATTGCATTCAATACTTTGTTAAAGCCAATAGTCGATCCATTGATCAAAATCAGTACATTCTTCAGGGAGTTGTGTGCATACACTTTGGATGTTCATTCTCTACAAAGCCTTGACGCGAGTATTCCATTATTATTGCGCAAGCTTGAACAGATATTTTTTCTCGGTTTTTTTGACACTATGACACATCAACCCATTTTTTTGTGCATGATGCTATATTTGAGGGACCAGTGCAGTACATGTGGATGTATCCCTTTGAGAGGTATGTCTTTTATTTTAGAGTGAAATATTATTTTATTTTTTGTAAAATTACTAAACTGTCTAGATTTTTGAATAAAATAAAAAAGACTGTTAATAATAAAGCATGTCCTGAGGGTTGGATATTCGAGGCATACCTATTACACGAGATAATTACTTTCTGTCCTTATTACTTCAATTAAAGTCAATATACACATGAAACGGTTGGTCAGATGCCTTTGCAAACATAACTATTAATATTCCAGATTTCTGGTGAATCATTTGACAGACATGGTACACGCTACCTAAATAATGGAGAGTTTCAAACAGCTACTTTGTATGTTCTATTGAACTGCGATGAAGTACAACCATTTTTACAGTAAGATTAAAAATAATCAAATATTTTTTTATGGAATGTTTTACCTATTAATTTAGACAAATAAGTCACAATGATGTTTGCAGGTTATTTACGGAAAGCTTGAACGTATAGGTTGGCTCTCTTATAAGCAAGAAAATCGATGTAGAATTTTCAAAATGGTTCAAATTATATGTACGTATGGAATGTTTTACCGATTAATTTATACATATAAGTCACAATGATGTTTGCAGGTTATTTACGAAAAGCTTGAACGTATAGGTTAGCTCTCTTATAAGCAAGAAGATCGATGTAGAATTTTCAAAATGGTTCAAATTATATGTACGTTGAAGTAAATTTTAAATTCATTGTTATGTTGGGTAATTGTATTATTCAAAGTTAAACGGATTATATTATGGAACTTCTACTAGGTCCATGATTCAAGCAACAGAATCACTGACCAAAATTTATTAGATCTTGTTTGGAGGTCTAATCGCAGCGTGAAGACATGAAAAATATTTGAAATTAAAGGTATAAATTTCACACGAGCTCTTGGTGTGAAGAAAAACAAACATATAATTGTGGTGTTTGTGCTAGAGGAAACATACACACAAATAATGAGATCAGCTATTACGACATGTTAAATGAAGTAGTTATGGTAAGTCAAACTAGTTAGGTTTATTATGTTTGATATCCTGGACGAGCAAGGGATAAACTTGATTGGGTTGTTGTATTAAAGAATAGACCATGAAAAATTGTTGAAGTGTAGAATGTTATCAACCATATTCACCAAGAGCTCGTTATGTCTAATTTTCATATTCAGCTTAACTCAATCAATGGGAAGTTACCGCTAGAGGATAGCACAATGATTCATAAAGAAGTCCCTCTAGATATGGATGAAAATGACGATGGAATTGGTGAAGAAATTTTAAGTTCTTCAACATTTGGATCATCAAATGAAACACATTAGAAAATGGTAGTATACTTAGGCGATTAGTTTATGCACCTTTTGTTTTTAATTTTGTTTCTTACACTATAGTTGTCCTGCTTAATTTTGATGAAATTGGTGAAGAAATTTTAAGTTCTTCAACATCTGGATCATCAAATGAAACATATTAGAAAATGGTAGTATACTTAGGTGATTAGTTTATGCACCTTTTTGTTTTTAGTTTTGTTTCTTACACTATAGTTGTCCTGCTTAATTTTCTTGATTTTATACGTAGACACGACATGTTTTACTTTTTGGCTTTTACTTTTCTGTCTTATATTACATATTAATCTTGCTTATTAATTCTAAATTTTTTCTCCTATTGCATATGATAGGTTCTTGCCTCTCGAGAGAGCCCACGTTCACGGGACTTTGGGGAACACTTGTCAGAGGCTGAAGAAGGCCTTCATTACCGCTGGCAGGTATGACACTAGTGCAATAACTATTTTTCTCCTATTGCAGATGATAGGTTCTTACCTCTCGAGAGAGCCCACGTTCATGGGACTTTAGGGAACACTTATCAGAGGCTGAAGAAGGCCTTCATTACCGCTGGCAGGTATGACACTAGTGCAATAACTCCGGTCCCATTATGTTGCCCCTCTTTCCGCACTAGTTCCCTCGCAGGAACCACCTCCCACTCCACCGTATTTCTACCCATCATCCTCATCAGATGAGCCAGGCCCCTCGATCCAGCACCTGAGATGGCTGACACCGTTGGTAGTGTATATATTGATACACAAGGTGAGTTGCAAGTCAATTTTCTTTTTCACAGTATAGTAATTTCAATTTTTCACTCAATTTTATAATGTAACTACTAGATCATTTGGAGGTTCAACCCCTCCAGACTGCCCATGATACGGATCACTGATATCATTCAGAGCAGATATGACAAATCATATCTCTCATTGAGGGGTCACACCTCACATTGCAAAATAACGTCATGAAAAAACCGACATAAAAAAAACTAACGCCTGACACAAATTTGAATTAGCGTCGGAAAATAACCCAATTAACATGAAAATATTCGACACTAATATAACATTTTCCCGTAGTGACGATTAGAGTGTTGTTAGTCAGTTAATTTCTTGTTAAAATAGAGGTGATTTTTATGCATCACATAATTCTTACATAATTTGATATTTAAGATTTATTTATATTATACTTAAAAATTTATAATTACTTTAAAAAGACAACTAATGGTAATTTTTTAAAACTGAAATACATTATTTTATGCATATACTGATATAAATGAGACTTAAAATGATATATATAAATATCAAATTTAGTGCTGTCTTTAAAAAAAAAAAGAGATTTAAGTTATTAGGATTTATTTAATCCCTTAAATCTAGATTTATTAAATTTTGAATGAGTTAAATCAGAAAAAACTGCTGGGCAAAGATACTAAATATTGTAAATCCAATAAAACATTTGATAAGTTCTATTAAATCCCAGTAGCTCTTTCATCAAATCCCCTTTAAAATATAATGTATAAATAAATAAAATCCTGTCCCTAAATTCTCGAGAAATTATTGTATCAGCATATCTGATGTAAATTTGTATCAGACGTCTAATAACAGAGAGAGGGACCCACTGACAAATACGATTCGAACTCAAATTGCCACGTAACCCTGTCTTTAAACACCTCATCACCTGATGTAATAATCTTTCTAAAAGCTGATTTATTTTTCTGCTCCTCCAACAATCAAGGTCAAGATGCACGTACGTCATCATGTATTAATTTTTCTATTCTTCTTTAAAGGACACCGGAGTCATCTTCCTTATCGAATTGTTTTCTGCTGACCAATAATTGTGGCTGAATCCTAATCCCTAGCTTAACACTCCCATGGAACCGACAACGTCCACCGTCGACGCCGTCGCCGGCGGCTCTTCCGCCGGAGCTGGTGGACCCGCTCCCTTTCTCGTCAAAACCTACGACATGGTTGACGATTCTTCCACCGACGACATCGTCTCATGGACCGCCACCAAAACCAGCTTCGTTGTCTGGAACCCGCCTGAGTTCTCCTCACGTCTCCTTCCCACTTACTTCAAGCACAACAATTTCTCCAGCTTTATCCGACAGCTCAACACCTATGTAATCCTTCATTCCTTTATTTCTTAGAGTTTTTATTTGGGTTTAGTTTTTCCATCCGGATCGAGAATTGCCTTTTTTTTCTTTATTTTCTTATGCCTAGGGTTTCCGGAAGATCGATCCGGAACGGTGGGAGTTTGCGAATGATGAATTCGTGAAGGGCCAGAAGCATAAGCTAAAAAACATCCACCGCAGGAAGCCGATCCATAGCCACAGCAACCCGCCGCATGGCTCCGCGGATGCCGAGCGGACCGCACTCGAGGAGGAAATCGAGCGGCTTCAGCGAGAGAAGGCAGCACTCCAGGCTAATCTATGGCGCTTCAAACAGCAGCAATCCGGGACCAAAATCCAGCTCGAAGATATCGAGCGCAGGCTGCTGGATATGGAGCAAAGGCAGGAAAAGATGGTCTCTTTTCTTCAGAGAGCTGTTCAAAATCCAAAGTTTGTTGAGAATCTTGTTATGATGGGTGGCTCTTCGGCTTCAGCTCTCCATAAGAAGAGAAGGCATCCAGGAGTGGAGTGTTGTCCTGAAGTTGGGGATAATAGCTTCTGTGAGAATTCTTGTAGCAATTCTAAGCCCACAGAAGTTGGCAATGTCTTCAGCCAAGACTTCTGTGATAAATTAAGGTTGGAGCTGAGCCCAGCCTTTTCTGAAAGCAATTTAGTCTCTCCCAGCAACCAGGGTTCTAATGAAGGTTACAGAAGTCCACAAGTGAGGCCGACGGATGATGATTGTCCTCTCAGGATGGAATGCCTTCAATTAGTGCCTGAAACTCTTGAACTTTCTGATACTGGAGCTTCCTTCTGCCCGAGGAAGAATTCACTGTTATCAGATGATGGAGATGGGCTTATTTCATGCCACTTGAAACTTTCTCTTTCTTCTTCTTCAATGCATATGGACAGCAGCACTAATTTGAGCAGAATTCCAAGCTTAGTTGATCTTGGAGTAACAAATGGGTATACAGGGGATGATAGTACTAGAATTTCTGGACAAAATAAGAATGCGGATCAGGTTTTGACTGATACTGAAGCCCCAACATTTAGAGAGGTTTCTCAAGCAGGAAAACCGGCATCTTTGCCTGCTAATGTAAGAGTAAATGATAAGTTTTGGGAACAGTTCCTGACTGAAAGACCTGGGTATTCTGATACTGAAGAAGCAAGTTCTAGTCTGAGGGATGATCCTTGCGAAGATCCACAAGAGGAGAGAATGGCTGAGAGAGAGAATAACCTGAGAAGCATAAAAGATATGGAGCAGCTGACACTATAAATGGCTTGGTTTGTGTGATTTTGGCAGATCTATACTTCAATCTGTACGCTCTCTCATATTTATACCTTTTTACTTGTAAATGTCATTTCTTAGCTTCTTAGTAAGTCATAAATTGTGGTGGCAGGTTGAGGATTAATAGTCATATATGTTTTAATGTAGAAGTTTGAAGATGGCTCCTATTTTATCTTTTTATGGTTGAGCCACCATGTCTAATCTTTCATTTTTAAACTAGAATAGCTACTTCCAACTTCAAATTTATTTTATTACTTTCAAAAGAGTACATGGATCTACATGTAAGGATTACAAAATACAAAAAGAAGAGGGGAGCTCCGGCCATGTATGACCAATAAATATAGTTTATTTATTTATTTTTTGTTTTGCATTGCTTGGTAGCTTGCTTTAGCCAACCCATCTTGTTGGCTTTGGTGGTTCCAAGCATTTTTTTCTCCTTTAGCTGAAACTTCATTATAGAGTTTGGTAGTATCCATGTATTTCTTTTCTTTTATGAGCCTTCCATGTAAATTTGGAGGAACACCAAAAAAATTTGCTTTGAAAATACAAAATTGATCCTTAATCTTTTTTGGCTATTCCATGCCATGGTGGATGTCAAAATTAGCTTTCAAATAATATTAAATCTTCTCATGATAATTTTAATTATTTTTAAAGAGCTCCCATAATGATAATTTTAATAATATAATCATTTTCAAACTCAGAAAAATATTCGAATATTTTCAAGCTGTTCATGCTTTATTTCTACAGCATCTTTTAAGAATCTTTTAAGAATTCTACTCCTGGAGAATTAAACGAATGCCAATGAAAGGAAAAGCAAGTATGCAATATGAGTAGAAAGTAAATATGCAAATATTGAAATGAGAAACCAAACCAAAGATAAGAGATACATACAACTTAATCTAGATAATTACTCTTTCTTTCCATACAACAGGGAAAAAAAATTACAATCTAGCTACTATTCAAAAGTGGTAATATGGATCATCAAACTAGGTATTAACATAAATTTAATGGTTGATTGGAAACTAAAAGTTGAAAAGGTGAAATTAAGGGATGGAGAGGATATATTGGATAAAAGAAGCCCAAGAGAAAACATGAACGCATCATGCATGCAAAAAATTATCTGTATCTCTTATTCCAAATTGATAAATAGTGGTGGGAGGTGGAGGATTAATAACAGTATGGGTTCAAGTGTGGATTCTTGAGCATGTATTTAATAAATATTTAAATACATAGCACACGATTCTTGTGTATTTACAAATCTAAACTTTCATATTTACACACATAGCAGTCAAATATTTAATCACTTGTTACCACTTTTTAAAAGTGAAATACATATTTTCATGCATAGCTTTAAAGCATCAAAGTGCGATGTATGTAAATATGAAAGTTTAGATATGAGATATGTAAATACATAAGAATAAGAATTTTGCGCTAAGTATATAAAATTTCCCTAAAATTTATTATGGACAAGCCACCAAACTTAACAGAGAAGGTGACCCCAAGGTCTAATCTTTCATTGCTAAAACAACAAAACCATTGCAACTTCAAGATCCTTTCATTCTATTCTGTTCCTTTCAGAAGAGTACATTGGTTTATCTATAAGTATTATAAACGTGTATACCAAGGGTGGTGGAGGACGGTGAGATGGGCTGAAATAGGTAGGTTGGGACATTGGAAGGTGGCTGATTCAACAGCCAAGGCTTCTAGAGGGTGGATGAGATGCAGTAAGGCTTGTGGGTGGCTGGAGCAGCAACAAAACTGTGAAGGGAATGCGTTGTGGGCTGCAGCAGCGAAGGTAGAGGGTTGAGGCAGAGAGGGCAGTGAAGGAGGAGGCTGGGACAGAAGTTGGGAAGGGGGAACTGCAGTAAAACAGCAAGGACATCTGGTCTGGGGCGGCTGCAGTAGGGAAGTACTGCGTGGTGCGGTGGGGCGTGATGTGGGAAGAGGGCGGAAGGGTTGGAAGGTGGAAACTGCAGGAAAAAAAGCCAATGAGTGTTGTTTCCGAGCGATGGCAGTAGGTACAGTGACGTAGGCAGCAGATGAACGGATTCGGAGGCGTGGAAAGTCTAGGATAATCACCACCTTGGAATGAGATATATCCGACGGCTATCCGGATAGAAAGCACAAGCAAAGCTCTAATCTAAACCCTAATACAATAGATATATAAGAAAGGACTAGAAAGGAATGAAAGGAAAGGAGAAAACTCACTAAAAATTAGAAAGGAATTGAAAACAGGCCGCTTGGTTCTGCTCTATACCGTTCATGTGAACCGGCGCACGCGTTCGGCTCTTGTAGCAGGAGACACCCGCATCAGAGGGAGGTCAACCATGTAATGCTTCAATTTAATTTATTTTTTAGTTTTGCTTTGATTTGGAACTTTGCATCAGCCAACCCATCTTGATGATTTTGGTAGTTTTGAGCATTTCTTCTGTTTTGGCTGAAATTTAATTACATGATTTTGTAGCAGCTGCCATGTATTTCTTGAAATTTAAGTGTTCAACGTAAGCGAGTCTTCATTAAACTTAGACAAGCACCAGAAACTCGAGTTTTGGAAAGACAAAACTGACCATTGGTCTCCCTTGTCTGTCTCACGTCACTATGGACTATAAAGTTAGCTCACAAATAATATTGAATCTTCACATGACAAAGAATTGTTCTAATTTTAATAAAATCAATATTTTTTAGATTGTCAAAATAATTTAAATATTTTCAAGTACTTCATGCTTTTGTTCTATATCAATCAGTAATGTTAAATTCATATTCATGATTAATAAAATACTTGGTTCTTCCTTGTCATTTTAAACTGAACAAGTTTGACCATTGCCACATTTTATATTTACTATTTTCATTTAACTTCGGTTACTTGTTTCTTACTTGGACATGTTTTGAATGGCAACGCAAATCTTTGTTCATTCTGCTTGGCTTATCCGTTTATACAAAACATGCTTTTTAATTATTTTATTTTAATTTAATTTTTTTGTATTCATTATGTTTGTTGCTTATACCATATATTATCATCAGTTGTGGTCTATTGATAGGAACTTTGTAACAAACCCTTCATGGAATTTCTTCATTCTAAACAACTCCCTATTGACTAACTTGAAGAAACCTTGGTTGTTTTCAGTAAGAAAAAAAATTATATTAGGGATAATTTGGTTGCTTGTATATGGAAATTTATAATTTCATTTTCATTCACTCATTTTAAGTGAAAAGAGAAATAAATTTTTTTGTGAAATTTTCAAGAGGTTTATAGAATTTAAAAATCATATTGATTTCTAACTACATCCAACCAATAATGTAATCTAGAAAATTACGGGGATGGAATGATCATAATGTTTAAAATACTTACAGTCTTAAAATCATAGACAAGATTTAGGGACAATATTGATAAAAAAACATGAAGAGTGGGCTTGAGTCTAAGCAAAGTTGAAGACTAGTTAATTGAGTCTGATAATTTTGCTTTTTTAGATAATGGAATTGCTTAATTCTTACTCCATGACTTTCAAGTTGATTGCGTGAATTAAATATAAAAATAATTATATTATAAAATTTAAAATATTATTTTGAATTTATTTATCACCATATTTTGTCTCTCTTCATATTGAGGATTATCAAATGAATTAAGAGGTTATATGTTGTACAAATCTAAAATCTAAAACTTAAAGTTAACTTAGTTAACATATCATAGCAAATAGGTTAAGGAGTTTGTACTAAATAAGTTTATGTTCTAATAAAATTGTTGCCTAATTCAATGTTAACTTAAAAAAAAAATTGATTTCTTGTGCGGTTTTGGTGTCCAACACAATCAGTCCAGACTCATCATCATGCGATCAAATCTACACGGGAATTATACCATCTTCTCAGCTGTCCTCTTTCCTTTCAGGTATGTCGTGACCGTTATTTGTGGCCTCATTTTTTATTTTCTTGGAGCTTTAGAGACCTTTTGGCTCAATATGGAAGAAAGATTTTTTTTTTTTCTTAGAAGACCCTAAATTTATAATTTTTTGGATATGTAATTCTCCTTCAGATTTTTTTTATGTATCATAATCTCTTGATGACGAGTACCGTCTATCTGAATATGTTATGAAACTTATATACCTACAGTTTCACACAAGTA